GCAGTATCACTACGGAAGTAGGATTGCCCAACCTTCCTTCCGAGGAGTGGCTGGTGGGTTTGAACCGCCAGCCTTCTGGTTAGCAGGCAAGTGCCCTTGTATTATAGTTGTTGAAATTAAAGAAAGCAAATGCTGCAGGAAATGAAAGAGTGCGATTAATACTGGCCCCTGTCACTTCATCTAGCATGTCCATTTCACTGTTTTATAATGCATGGGGCCACCAAGAGCAGGAATGTGCCTCAACTCTTTGATTCCATTCTTGAATCCATTCACCGTCTAATATCCTGGGAGGAAGAGCTGATCATGGTCTCAGATTCTGTCAGCAAAAGTGTGAGAATCCTGAAAGGAAAGTAGAGTGCTCTCAGGAAGGGATATCAACAAAAAAACAAAAAGTTGCCATTCCAACTTATGGTAACCCCATGTTGTATCAGAGTAGAACTGTGCTCCATAGGGTTTTCAGGGCTGTAACTTTTTGGTAACAAATTGCCAGATCTTTCTTCTGAGGCACCCCTGGGTGGACTTGAACTTGTAACTTTTTGTTTAGTCGATGAGCACATTAACCATTTGCACCACCCACAGACTTGGGAAGGGAGAGTGGATACCACATGTGGGACCAGAATCCAGGCTTCCTCCCCCTCTAGGTTTACTCCATCACCACAGGTGGGGGCCCAGCACACCATGTTAGAAGCTCATTATGCAGGATGGTTAACAATTATGCCCCAACACCTATGATAATAGAGAAAATAAAATAAACTTTATTAAAAAGTACATGATGTTTAAAATCAATATCTTGCTTTCTTGGGTACATGACATGGTTCAAAAATATGACCTCATTTGATTCTCATTAATCTCTGCTAGTTTCTGCTGTATTCTGCAAAAGGTGTTAATCGTGTCTGCTCAAGCCTCTTTGTGGTTTACATATGCTTGTATGGACTAACCTGAGAATCCAACCACCCACAACTGATTTAATGAGGAAATGTGTTCTGAGTTCCAAACATGGAACCAACTAATGAGTGCCTAGAAGTCATTGTGTTTGTAAGGTGGAGCTCACTGGTTGGCAGGCTTGTACAAGAATGAGGGCGTAGATGGTGGGAAGCAACCTTCTCTCATGTGCTTGGTTCCAGGTTACAGAGGTGCTCAGCAGTGCCGATATGAGTGACACAAAGGACCACTCCACTAGAACCAGTTTTGAATAAATACCCCCAAACCCAAACTCACTACTGTTGAGTTGATTTTGAGTCATAGCAACCCTATAAGACAGAGTAGAACTGCCCCCATCAGGTTTCCAAGGCTGTAAATTGTTATGAAAGCAGACTGCTTCATCTTTCTCCTGCAGAACTACTGCTGGGTTCAGACCACCAACCTTTTGGTTAGCAGCTGAGTAATTAATCACTGTTCCATCAGGGGTTCTGAATAAATATAGTCCTTAGGGATTCCAAGTAACATTTAAGGCATTTGCAGAAGGTGGTTGTTGTTATTGTTAGGTGTCCTCAAGCTACCTCCAACTCATGGTGACCTTATGTACAACAGAATGAAACATTGCCCCATCCTGCTCCATCTTCATGATCATCGGTACATTTGAGCCCATTTTTGTGGCTACTGTGACAACTCACCTCATTGCACATTCATAGGGCAGTTTTCTGGTGCTTTCTGCTCTAGCAAGCAGCTGACCAGAAGGGTTCAGCTGCTTGAACTAAGAATGGCTGGACCAAAATGGCAGCTCTGGATTTAAAAACTCTCCTGGGGTTCTGACTAGATACCCTCAGGAGGATGCAATTTCTCTGAATGGTCTGGTGAGAAGGAAGTACTTTCTGTGGATCTTTTTTGGGGACCCTAAACTCCTCCTCCTCCCATGCCATCATCCTCCCAGTATTGGGCAGGCACCATGATGGCCATTGTCTTGGCTTCTGGGAGACTGTGTCCACTAACAGGACACTGAGAACATTGCCACTGGTTCTGCCTATAGTCCAGCCAAGGCACAGGCTTTATAACATGGTTACACAGGTTGCACGTGTAATTGTAGTGATTCTTAACAATAATCCCTTCATTTAGAGTTTTCTCTTTCCATCCCAGGTACTCTTCAGCGGAAATAAGGAAGCAATTTACTCTCCCACCAAACTTTGGGCAGTGCCATCGACAGAGCATCAGCACATCTAGCTTCCCCTCTCTTCAACTAGTAAGTATGAGCCGTAAGTGTGCTTAGTGAATGGTATAGGCCAGAAGACCAGCTATGCCTTTGCTGTTAGAATCATGTTAGCTGCTCCATGGGCACCTTAGACTCTCCAATGGCCACCTCTTAACTCCATACCTACTTACTAACCTCAGGCAGTTTTCCTCTATTCCTCTCTCCTTCTGCAACCAGGACTTAGATGGCACATTGGACCTCCAGGGGCTGTGATTCTGAAGTTTCTGGACTTAGTGTGCTTCCAGAAAGGTGAACCATTTGCTGTCAAGTTGATTCTGACTCTGGGCAACCCCATGTATGTCACAATAGAACTGTGCTCCATAGGGTTTTTCAATGGCTCATTTTCCCGAAGTAGATCACTAACCTTTTCTTCTGAGGTGCCTCTGGGTGAAGTAGAGCCTTCAACGCTTTGGTTAGAAGTTTAGTAGAAGCACATAACTGTTTGTGGCACCCAGGGACTTCCATTGGGCTTCCAGGCTGTTTAATTTCACCCAAGTTATGGGTCATATTTTTTGGGAGGAGGGACTAGCTTGGAACCTTACCATCATTTGTAGCATACTTTTATTGGAAGAATATATTTCAAAGTCCCCAAATCCAAGTTACCTTCATTTTTTAAAATATTTTTTTAAGGTATAATTTACATATAATAAAAGTCACTTTAAAAAAAAAGTTGTGGTTTGGGTGAAAGTTTACATAGTACATTAGTTCTCATTCAACAATGTAGGCATAATTCTGTTTCGTGACATTGGTTGCAATTCCCTCAGTGTAACAGCTCTCTTCTCACTTCACCTTGAGTTCCCCATTTCCATTCTTCCTTCTTTCCTGTCCTTTCTGGCTTTCTGAGCTTTCTTTTTGGGCAAATACTGCCCTTTTGGTCTTGGATAGTTAATTGTTCTGAGCAGTACAGTCCTCACAGGCGTTACTATTCACTTTATAGGCCTGTCTATTATATGACTGAAAGGTAATTCCTAGGGGTGGGTTCAGTTCCAGGTTTGAAGGGTGTCTAAGGGCCACCGTCTCAGTGCTTCCACCAGACTATTAGACCAGTAAGTCTGGTCTTTATGACGATTTTGAAAATTCCAGACATTCCTTGCAACTTGACGAACTTTGGAATTTCACCATAATCAGGATATAGAACCGTTCCTTCACCCTACAAAGCCCCTTGTGCCCCTTTGCAGTCTGGCTGCTCTCCAGGCAGTCAACTGCTCCTAGCTTTGTGGTTGTTAGCTGCCACTGAGTCAGCTGACTCATGGTGACCCTGTATACTACAGAATGAAACGTTGCCTGGTCCTGTGCTATCTTCACAGTTGCCGGCGTGTTCAAGTCAATCCTTATAGCTACAATGCCAGTCCACCTCCCTGAAGATCTCTCTCACCCTCACTGGCCCTCTACTCACCAAACATGATATCCTTCTCCAACTATTGATCCCTCTTGATGCCATGTCCAAAGCAAGTGAGCCAGACCATGTTTTATTGTGAGTCATGTAGTTTTCACTGGCTCATTTTTAGATTCACCGGGCCTCTCTCCTAGTTTGTTTTAGTCTGGAACCTCCCCTGTAATCTGTCCACCATGGGCAACCCTGCTGGTGTCTGAACTACCAGTGGAATCCAGCATCACAGCAACACGTGAGCCACCTCAGTATAACATGCTGACAAGATGGGTGGTAAAAAGATTGCCTGCTGATCTTTGACAAAGGCCCCAAATCCATTAAGTGGGGAAGAGAATGTTTGTTTAATAAATGGTGCTGGCAAAACTGGAGATCCAT